ATATTTTGGATAATAATTAAAAACTGTGCTCGAATTTTTCCAATTCGAGCACCGTTGTTATTGTTTATTTTTTTAGGATTGGTATTCGTCATTCGTCGTAGAGGAGAATGACGCGAAAAATGAATAAATTTTTATGAAATTTTGTTGCAGGATATATACATTTTGTGGTTGAAAAGTGTATAATATTAAGGTCACGGAACGTCAATTTTAGAAATTTAATTTGAATACAATTTTCATTGTTTCCCCCTTTTTTTCTTTCTCATTTCTTACAATCTAGGAGGTAGGGTTGCCTACCCTTTCCCCTCTGATATGCATATTAAATCTTTAGGTCTTTATTCAGCAATAACTTGACTGATGGCTGTTCAAACAAACTGGATTATTCTCTGCCTGTTCAAAGAAGCGCTTTCATTCAGAAACAATCTCCTGTTTATAAGAATAGAATTAAGTTTTTTAATGAAAAATCATTAGGTAGTTTTCGCCGCACGACGTTAACCTTAACTTTAACGTTAGTACCTAAAATGCAGCACGATAGCTCCGCCCCTTTTGTAAACAAATAAAATACGCATGCGCAAACCCGTAACTAACGTACGTCGAGTACATAAAATCCTGAAATTAACGTACAACGCAACGCAAGATGAATAAATTATGACGTCATCCGTTAACGTTAAGGTTAACGTCGTGCGGCGAAAACTACCTATTGTCCTTGTAGATCACTTAAATCAACCTCCACTTTTAAATGTAGTCTATTTTAATTTCATTAGTTAAACTCAACAAAATTTGTATTAAAGAAGACAGTCATATTGTGCACAAATGTATTTTTGAAAAATGTACAAATATTGAATCACTCTTACCGGATGAATTTGCCCACATTATCATTTACTTCTTGAATCCTTGTAGACTCTAGCATAAGCAATGTCACCTCGTTCTTATGTGCCTCGAGACATATGTTGATTGTATAGTATTTTAAGTACATTGTTTTCTTACATTCATACGGATTTCATGCTCAATAATAAATGTTGAAAAGGTCAGAAATCTCAAGTAATTATTAAGGTGGATCCGATTTGGTATTGTAGTGTTCCCTGGCTTATTCACCTTAGGCCTAATAATACTGTTTTGGGCGTTCTCTAGAATTAAACAAGCATATCGCCCTGTTATTCATTTAAAAAAAAAACATTGGGGTTTTGTCAACCTAACCATCGGATGCTTTCATGTCCACAACCGTAAAAAAGAGTTTGATGAAAATCACAACAATAATATCTACATAGTATATTAAGGAAGTATATATATTTATAATAAGAAGTAAAGTGTGTGCGTTTATATCAAGTTGTTTGTCACTGTACAATAGCATATGATTTCACACATATTATAATGTTATACAGATAAATTTTATTTGAAAAACATTGCATTTGTTTATTGATACGCATTGTACAATAAAACTTTATTTATGTTGTTCATGCTTAGAAATCGAGGAAGTCTATTAATAATTAGCCTATTGGATTTTATATATATTCAGTAAATCTCAATGATAATCCATGACTTATTATATGACCTCAATGATAACCCATAACTTATGACATAACCTTAATGGTGACTCATGACTTATGACATAACATAATTCCAAAAATGCAAATGCAACCAACATAGAAAACCATGGAAATAGCTGAATTTGAAAGTGTACGGAATAGAAACATTCGAATAGAAAAACTAATACAGTACATACAGGAATTAGGCCCTACTTAATTTAAATATATCCTTTATTAAGGAAAGCTTTAAAGGGGGAATCTATAGTTGTTATAATTTTCTCGAGAG